AAATACATCGACCAGGCTTGTATACGCCCACGAACAGAACTTCCAGCTGCAGTACTGGCTCGGAAAGTACAGCACAATTGAACACGACTTTGTGCGACCAGAATTCCAGCAAAACGAAATCTTCAAAGAGAGCAGACGGGATTAAATGCAAGGGACCAGGTGACTCGAAGAATAGATCGGAAACTTTATCCAGTGATGCATGTGGCAGAATTGCCTCAAAATTGGATTCGACGATATTACGTTGTTCGTGCAAAATAGCTATGGATGCAACTGAGTGCAAAAAATCCGGAAATCCTTCAGAGGAAGCCGGTGGAAATCTTGCACAAACAGTGAAGCTGAAAACTGTTAATGTGAATCCCTGGAGAAACGATGGTGTAAAGACAGCTAGGATTGTTGAACCCCATCTGTCAATCAACGATGGAGATAAAAGCCCTAAGAGAAACTTAACTCGTTTGGTTTCACTTCTGCAAGAGTGCAGTGACGTGAAAAGCTGCTTGTCCGCCGGGAGAGAAGGAACCGCAAACAGAACACCATCATGCCAAGCTGATGATGGTACACCACAACTCACAAGTCAAAAGTTACTCAAACCAGGGAGAATAGTTTGTTCTCATGGAGGTGTTTCTCAAGACTGTCATATGGGCGAGAACTGTCTGTCTGGAATTTTACTAGTTACTTCAAAAATACCTTCAAATCCTCGGTCTTTTCGGCGACTTCCACTTATAGAGAAAGTACCACCAAATAAGGTTAAATCCGATTTTTCAATGCTTGAAAGGGGTCCGAGATTGTCCACGATGAAAAAAGTGTGTCACCTTTGCGAGGAATGCCGGAACACGTTTCGAAATGTCAGTTCAAGAGTTCACGGTCCTGATATGGAATCGGAAAACCTGACTCGCCTTAAATATAAGCTGAAACTAAAAGAGCGGGAGTTGCTGAATATGGAAAGTAATGTTGGTAAAACTCTGAGCTCTAACTCTAATGAGCTAGCGCGGGATGAACCAACAAAGTGTAAGCTGGGAGAAAAGTTCACTTTGCCAAAGTTGTACCTCATGCATCATTCCACTGCTACTACTTATCATCAAAAGGCGAGAAAAATGAGAACAAAAATGACTGATTCGATCATTTCTGCGTCAGAAGAGTGCTCAAATGCAACAAAACAACGTTGTTACAAGCTGGCAAAGGTAGAGCGGTTGGATAGCGCGAGCTCTCCTCGAGACAAACTTGCTAAGAACTCGGCGAAAATGCCTAAGGTAAAAGGACCTTTTTCAGCGGTGCTTATGCCAACGGCGCCACTGCGAGGGTTCACGCCTCTGTGCTCAACGGAAAGCCCAATGCTGTGGAGAGAAAATGAAAGTGACGTCCAATGCATCGAGCAAGAAAAAGAAATGACAATAGAAGACTGACAACTAGGAGGAAAAATTAAGGGAAAAGGAGTAGAACATATAGTAAAATCACAACTTGTAGTTAAACAAACATACATCAGCTAGAGGGCTTAAGCGTGTTCGAAAATTTAAGGTGGCTCTGAACCCTACCTACAGAATTTTTTTAAATTTTGCCACGGCAAAAGTTGCGTCTTATCATGCTTATTAAAAGTTGATAACATAAAAAAAAATTCACTGTGCCATTTTTGAATTATAAGCCCCCAAAGCTGTAATTAAGGGTGTTTTTAGGAGGTCGTACTGTTGCTATGGTAACCTATTGTGTCACCAAAATGATATCAACGTGTTCACCAATGATTGGGCAGTATTTTGTTACCATGATTGTAGCATCAAGTGACAAAGAGTGGTTATAACGACCCATCAAAATCTAAGTGCTGGAAACTGTTTTGAGCCACCTGAATTCTAATCCATTTTATAGCGCGCGAGCATCTCGAAAAGTGAAAAAAAAAAATGAACTTCGTTGAGTCAATCGGGGTTATCAGAATTATTCAGGCAATGAACGTGTTGCTTGGTCTCTCACGCGGTACGGTGATTGTTACTTGCTCTTTACGCCGTTAAATTTTACCTTCGATTTTACCTATCGATTTTAGGCTCTCCAGCGACGTTTCCTTCGCACGTAGCCTGCGAACGCTGACGTATTTCCGGCTGTCGCTAGTCTCCGCACTCGAGTTTCATTGTATCACGGAATCTGATTGGCAAAAGAGAAACAAAAACCATTACGTCACAGAAATCGTTTCCTGTCTCGGGTTCGCAGACGTTATTTTTCGGCGGAGACAAGCGACAGCCGGAAATACATCTGCGTTCTCAGGCTACTTCGCACGGGGATATGAAAACGCCATCCGAAGAGAATTTTGCGGAAGTTCACACAAAATTGGTAGATTAAATTTTTAAAAAATAATAATACAAAACATATATCTGTCTACATTTTCTTATTATCGAAACCAGTGAACAGTTGAATGTCCAGTGTAGTAAATGACCAGTGACCGTTTAATTTTTAATGAAGAATCAAAACCCTCTCAATGTAGTAAAGAAAAACAGAAACTATTATCGCACTATGTAACTGACATACAATGGTTAAGGCTTTTTCCTCTAAATTCCCCTGTCTCAGGGCCTTTCCATCTTAAATCCGTGGGGTTGCCTATATTCCCTCAAATTTCTGTACCCTAGGGAACAAAGCCCTTTTTCAATTTCTAAATTCCCAGATCTAAGGCCTTTCCCATTTTACGCTCTTTCAGGTTAATAGACTGTTCAGTCGATATATTAAAATTCAACTTGGCAATGAGGCCTAGAGGACTTAGACAAAGGAAATTGAATGACATGTTTATTAATTTCTTTTGTTTGTGTCCTCTAGGCCTCAATATCAAGCTGAATTTTAATATGACAAAAGTAACCTATTGCATTTTGTGAAAATCAAAATCAACATAAAATGAGAAAAAATGGGAGCCTATGGACAGACTCACTGTTATGAAGTAGAGAAAGTTGAAACACTGCGATATGAACTTTTTTTCCTACTCTCAAACATAAAACCGGTCCTGAATTATATGCTTAGAGGGATGTCAAGGAGCCTAATATTTTCCAAACAATTTTTATTCTTTGGCAAATCTTTAATCCTGCCTCTTCGTAGTCCAGTCCAGGGTCCATTTCTCGAAGGTCCCGAAAAGCCGTAGCAAAATCTCAAACCTTATGACTACAGAGCTGGTTTTTTTATTTTTATTTTTTTATTCTTTAACTTATTCTTAATACGAACAGAGGTTCTCTTCATAGAAGAAGTTTCAGGCGTATACACCTCTATGTCTTTAAATACTGATTAACTAAAAATAGCTTTTCGGGCCCGGTAAGTTTCCGGCTTTGTCAGTTGAGCGAGCGCTACCAAACGTACGGGAAAGGGGAAGGCTTGGTGGCTGAGCAAAGTCCAAAGAATCAAGATGGTGGTCATACTGAGTAAGATTCTCCCACCGGCACATTGGTTGAATTCTAAAGTTTCTGGGATCGCGGTTGCCGCTGCTGCAGCAGGTATCGTTGTATTATGGAAGAAAAAGCTGGACCAACTTAGCAGTAAAAGGTATGCTTGCTATTGCGCAAAAGCCGCAAGTGTGGCTTCCATGCCGGTGTACACCTGACTGCTTTCTGTTGCGTCATGACTTGTGTATGAGATTTTCGTCCGTTCTTTCAATAGATAAAGACAGCTTCGATTTTAGAACTCGAGTTGATCATTTCATTTTTTTTGTGTTAAACAGTGATGTTTTACTTTCTATTCATTAATAAGCTTATTGTATATTGTTCTGTCCGTAATTGATTGCAGAAAGGATCTGACGGACGATTTACACATCTCTCTAGAGGAGGTAAGGATCTCGTGAAGTTTAAAAAAGTAAAGCAATTGAACTTAATCATATTGGAGAAATCTGTGTTTTATGTATCAACAACACCTCCTAACTCCCTTTCTTGATTATTGGTTGTGCACAAGCATTATTATAGTCTGCATAGTTTTAGTAATTGTGCACAGTGATAATTAAATATGACTTTGAACAGCACCTTCAAGTCTTAGGGAGAGTACGGTTAGAAAAATAGGCAATGAGGAGGTGTTCTGAGAAAAATTAAACAAAGCAAGGAATGCTACTTGGACGGAGCAGCTGAGGGACAACCTTGTAATAGTGAATTATGAAAACAAATGAGGCTTTATTCTAGTTTGTACATGTACAGATGTTTGCTAGAATCGAGATCAGTTTTCAGGATGTGGCTCAAGTCTCCTTTCATCCCTTAAAGGTGCTGGGGAATACAAGTGTTATACATCATTGTTTATTTGTGGCTTACTTGAAAACATCATTTAGTAAGGAAGTTCATTGAAAAATTTTCAAAGTCCAAAATTGCACCTTTAGCAATCATATTTTTATTTACTATAAAGTCCCTCTGTCCTCTCCCTCAATTAAAATATCCCTTTATAGGTTATTTTTTATACTGTTAAGGCTCTGTGTATCAGTCAGTCAATTGGGGTGGGCTGGGTATGTAAAATGTAATTTGTTATATAGACGCAAGTGTTTTACTGGAAAATACACTACTCGTAAAATTCATACGAAACCACATCCAGGACTCGAGTGGCATATTTTCCACATCCTCACTAGTGAAGATATCGATGATTTCATTAATACCAAGTTTGTCTAAATTGTACTTTGTTGGTGTATGATCAAAACGTCTTTTGGTCTACCTCGAAAGTGTTTGGCAATCTTCGGTAATCTTCGGAAATCTTTGGTAATCTTCGGAGAGTTTCAAAAAATGTTTGGCAATGATTGAGTGACCTTTGGACAAGTTTTGGAGAATTTTCTGAAATCTTCAGAAAGTGGTTGGAAATCTTCGGAAAATAGTCAAAAACGCCGTGATCAGTATGTCTATATATGATAAAAAAAACATTACACGAGGAATATGAATTTTATGTTCAAGTGGCAAGAACAATATCTCACTCATTCACTGCGGTCACTTGTAAGATATTGTTCTTGCCACTCAAACATAAAATTCATATCTTCTCACCACCGTGTAATATCCTCTATGTATTTTGTGTCATATGAATGTTCTATTTTGTTATATTGTACACTGAAATTTTAGTGTTTAAATGTGCTGTGGATTATTTTCAGGAAAAAGCAGCCAAGAAAGAAAAGGCTGCAGTAGATGGTGTATTCTTTAGGTAAATTAGTTTACACTATTCATTCATGCTGACCACTTTAATTTTATGTTGTTTATCCAACAAACACAAAAATGCTTCGGATTTTGACTAATCTTTGTGTTAGAGTAGCCCATTCTGATGTTAATTTACTTTTCAAGTCATTTGCTTTTTTATCGGAAATTGAAAGAATTGTTTTTCACAATTTCAATAATATTAATAAATATTTTTTTATCCAGAAAGTTACTGAGGATTTTGAAAATAATCATTCCTGGATGGCTCACACCAGAGGTAGGTTATTGATATTAAGACGGATTCCGTTCAAAGTTTGAGAAATAAGTGCAAATTATTTGCTAAAAGTCTACTTATAGCACAATAACTTTTGGCACTCACTTAAGTTCATTTCTCTAAGTGACTCCGCAATTAAATTCTCAAGCATTCTCAAGAAAGTTAATGTCAAACCTCGTAAAAATGCTTAAGTGTGTGTTATTGTGTTTTAACTATCGTGAAATGTCTGTTTTAATTTAAATATGGATAACTTCAAGTTCAATTTTCCCTCACGGGGTCAGTTTCAGAGCTAAAGTCTTGATAAGTTCTTCTTAACTGTATTCAAAATATCACCATGTCATGAGGTTTTTTTGGTAACTTAATTTTTGCCATTATTGCTCGAATGTAGATATCATCTTAATGATCATACAGGTTATATGACTTGTACTATTGATACCAACTTTTGTTTCATATGGAAATAGAATTCGTTTATGAATAAATGACAATACACTTGTTTTTTTTTGTTTAATTTTATTGTTGTAATAAACAAACATTGTACAATATTATTGTAACTAACAAAATGTAGGAATAGAAATTTAGTATAACCTCTGAAATCATAAGTACACTCATGGGTAACAATTTTTAAAATTTGGTTTACCGCAGTGGTTTGAAAAATCTTATACTACTTCATAAATAAGATTGTATCATATGTAAAATTGAACTGCAACATATACAGAAGAAGTTTATGACAATTTAGTGAAGTCTGTGACTTGTAATTGCGTTTTTATATATTGATCTCTGATTATAAAAATGATGTTAGAGGCAGAGTTAAGTTTAAATGGTAAAGACTGTATATGAGCCAAGTGGCCCATTAGGCTGGCACTTATTTCTGATTTCAGTAGCATGAAGGGACTAGGGGTATTTCTACTCACCCCCTGGATGGAATGCTAGTCCATCACAGGGTTACCCCCAGCATTCAATTTGCTGGTATCCATTTATATACAGTGTACCTGGGTGGAGAGAGGTACTGTGAGAGTAAAGTGTCTTGTCCAAGAACACAATGCAATGTCCCCAGCCAGGACCCAAACTTGGACTGCTCGATCCAGAGGTGAGCACTCTTGAGGCCACCATACCTCCCTGAGGGAGGTGTGGTGGCCTCACCCGTGGGAGTTATTCAAAAGTGCCCAAAATTTGATATCCAGAACTTGGGTGGAAGACAATCAATGAAGTTTTTAATTCTTATGTTACAAGTCTGCATGTGGATTTTTAGAAAAATCAGCTGACCCCATTTCCAAGTCTGCCCCAGTATCTCAGGCAGAAGCTCTTAAAAGTATCTATTAGGAACACAGCTCAGTCCAGAGTACCGGTAACCATCAGTGTGTTTCACAAGAGTTAAAATTAGCAATTTTGTATTTTATCTTCAGACCGGTTACTTGGCACTTGTCGCTGCATCTCTGATAGCAAGGACATATTGTGATGTTTGGATGATACACAATGGAACTTCAATTGAGAGGTGAGCTTTCTCAAAGACACTCAGAGTACATAATACAATCTGCTGTGTATAATTCTGTGAATCCAAGGTAAATTTGGATAAAAGATTAAGGCTAAGGTACAGTGTAAAGGAATTTGCTTTGAGTTACACAATGCACATAATAATTTTTTCTTGCATTGAGTTACATGTTGTTCAGTTTAATTTGAGGACTGTATGATTGTGCAATTTTCTCTGGGGTAACCCGAAAACACTGACTCCCTGTCCGTGGACCCCCTCTACGGACTGGGTCCACGGACTACCTATGGACCAGTCAATGGACTATCCCTATAGACCCCTCTACGGACCAACCCCCAAAATGGAATGAAAATAATAAATTAGTATTTCAGTTACGGGTTGTCTTATAGATTATTTGTGTCTGCTAAATTCCTAATGTTACATTGTGCAAATGTAACAGACTTGGGTTCAGGCTCAGGCGTAATTTATATCATTACACATTGCCGTTTCCTTTGCTGTGGCCATACAGTGTATGAAAGACCAGGAAGCCTTCAGGAGGCCTCCGGGAAGCCTCTGGGAAGCCTTGAAATTTGTGCTCTTTCCCCTTTGCCATTTTGTCCAGCCCATTTTACCGTGGGTTCGTGAACTTGTTCCAGGCTTCACAATTTGCTCAGCAGAATTACAGATACAAACAAGCTTAAACGATCTAAAACGCATCTACCATAGCCAGATTGAGCCATGCTTCTCCATACGCTGTAAACAGCTTTTAGGCATTTTTTTTTGGGGGGGGGGGGGGGNTCACTGTGCCATTTTTGAATTATAAGCCCCCAAAGCTGTAATTAAGGGTGTTTTTAGGAGGTCGTACTGTTGCTATGGTAACCTATTGTGTCACCAAAATGATATCAACGTGTTCACCAATGATTGGGCAGTATTTTGTTACCATGATTGTAGCATCAAGTGACAAAGAGTGGTTATAACGACCCATCAAAATCTAAGTGCTGGAAACTGTTTTGAGCCACCTGAATTCTAATCCATTTTATAGCGCGCGAGCATCTCGAAAAGTGAAAAAAAAAAATGAACTTCGTTGAGTCAATCGGGGTTATCAGAATTATTCAGGCAATGAACGTGTTGCTTGGTCTCTCACGCGGTACGGTGATTGTTACTTGCTCTTTACGCCGTTAAATTTTACCTTCGATTTTACCTATCGATTTTAGGCTCTCCAGCGACGTTTCCTTCGCACGTAGCCTGCGAACGCTGACGTATTTCCGGCTGTCGCTAGTCTCCGCACTCGAGTTTCATTGTATCACGGAATCTGATTGGCAAAAGAGAAACAAAAACCATTACGTCACAGAAATCGTTTCCTGTCTCGGGTTCGCAGACGTTATTTTTCGGCGGAGACAAGCGACAGCCGGAAATACATCTGCGTTCTCAGGCTACTTCGCACGGGGATATGAAAACGCCATCCGAAGAGAATTTTGCGGAAGTTCACACAAAATTGGTAGATTAAATTTTTAAAAAATAATAATACAAAACATATATCTGTCTACATTTTCTTATTATCGAAACCAGTGAACAGTTGAATGTCCAGTGTAGTAAATGACCAGTGACCGTTTAATTTTTAATGAAGAATCAAAACCCTCTCAATGTAGTAAAGAAAAACAGAAACTATTATCGCACTATGTAACTGACATACAATGGTTAAGGCTTTTTCCTCTAAATTCCCCTGTCTCAGGGCCTTTCCATCTTAAATCCGTGGGGTTGCCTATATTCCATCAAATTTCTGTACCCTAGGGAACAAAGCCCTTTTTCAATTTCTAAATTCCCAGATCTAAGGCCTTTCCCATTTTACGCTCTTTCAGGTTAATAGACTGTTCAGTCGATATATTAAAATTCAACTTGGCAATGAGGCCTAGAGGACTTAGACAAAGGAAATTGAATGACATGTTTATTAATTTCTTTTGTTTGTGTCCTCTAGGCCTCAATATCAAGCTGAATTTTAATATGACAAAAGTAACCTATTGCATTTTGTGAAAATCAAAATCAACATAAAATGAGAAAAAATGGGAGCCTATGGACAGACTCACTGTTATGAAGTAGAGAAAGTTGAAACACTGCGATATGAACTTTTTTTCCTACTCTCAAACATAAAACCGGTCCTGAATTATATGCTTAGAGGGATGTCAAGGAGCCTAATATTTTCCAAACAATTTTTATTCTTTGGCAAATCTTTAATCCTGCCTCTTCGTAGTCCAGTCCAGGGTCCATTTCTCGAAGGTCCCGAAAAGCCGTAGCAAAATCTCAAACCTTATGACTACAGAGCTGGTTTTTTTATTTTTATTTTTTTATTCTTTAACTTATTCTTAATACGAACAGAGGTTCTCTTCATAGAAGAAGTTTCAGGCGTATACACCTCTATGTCTTTAAATACTGATTAACTAAAAATAGCTTTTCGGGCCCGGTAAGTTTCCGGCTTTGTCAGTTGAGCGAGCGCTACCAAACGTACGGGAAAGGGGAAGGCTTGGTGGCTGAGCAAAGTCCAAAGAATCAAGATGGTGGTCATACTGAGTAAGATTCTCCCACCGGCACATTGGTTGAATTCTAAAGTTTCTGGGATCGCGGTTGCCGCTGCTGCAGCAGGTATCGTTGTATTATGGAAGAAAAAGCTGGACCAACTTAGCAGTAAAAGGTATGCTTGCTATTGCGCAAAAGCCGCAAGTGTGGCTTCCATGCCGGTGTACACCTGACTGCTTTCTGTTGCGTCATGACTTGTGTATGAGATTTTCGTCCGTTCTTTCAATAGATAAAGACAGCTTCGATTTTAGAACTCGAGTTGATCATTTCATTTTTTTTGTGTTAAACAGTGATGTTTTACTTTCTATTCATTAATAAGCTTATTGTATATTGTTCTGTCCGTAATTGATTGCAGAAAGGATCTGACGGACGATTTACACATCTCTCTAGAGGAGGTAAGGATCTCGTGAAGTTTAAAAAAGTAAAGCAATTGAACTTAATCATATTGGAGAAATCTGTGTTTTATGTATCAACAACACCTCCTAACTCCCTTTCTTGATTATTGGTTGTGCACAAGCATTATTATAGTCTGCATAGTTTTAGTAATTGTGCACAGTGATAATTAAATATGACTTTGAACAGCACCTTCAAGTCTTAGGGAGAGTACGGTTAGAAAAATAGGCAATGAGGAGGTGTTCTGAGAAAAATTAAACAAAGCAAGGAATGCTACTTGGACGGAGCAGCTGAGGGACAACCTTGTAATAGTGAATTATGAAAACAAATGAGGCTTTATTCTAGTTTGTACATGTACAGATGTTTGCTAGAATCGAGATCAGTTTTCAGGATGTGGCTCAAGTCTCCTTTCATCCCTTAAAGGTGCTGGGGAATACAAGTGTTATACATCATTGTTTATTTGTGGCTTACTTGAAAACATCATTTAGTAAGGAAGTTCATTGAAAAATTTTCAAAGTCCAAAATTGCACCTTTAGCAATCATATTTTTATTTACTATAAAGTCCCTCTGTCCTCTCCCTCAATTAAAATATCCCTTTATAGGTTATTTTTTATACTGTTAAGGCTCTGTGTATCAGTCAGTCAATTGGGGTGGGCTGGGTATGTAAAATGTAATTTGTTATATAGACGCAAGTGTTTTACTGGAAAATACACTACTCGTAAAATTCATACGAAACCACATCCAGGACTCGAGTGGCATATTTTCCACATCCTCACTAGTGAAGATATCGATGATTTCATTAATACCAAGTTTGTCTAAATTGTACTTTGTTGGTGTATGATCAAAACGTCTTTTGGTCTACCTCGAAAGTGTTTGGCAATCTTCGGTAATCTTCGGAAATCTTTGGTAATCTTCGGAGAGTTTCAAAAAATGTTTGGCAATGATTGAGTGACCTTTGGACAAGTTTTGGAGAATTTTCTGAAATCTTCAGAAAGTGGTTGGAAATCTTCGGAAAATAGTCAAAAACGCCGTGATCAGTATGTCTATATATGATAAAAAAAACATTACACGAGGAATATGAATTTTATGTTCAAGTGGCAAGAACAATATCTCACTCATTCACTGCGGTCACTTGTAAGATATTGTTCTTGCCACTCAAACATAAAATTCATATCTTCTCACCACCGTGTAATATCCTCTATGTATTTTGTGTCATATGAATGTTCTATTTTGTTATATTGTACACTGAAATTTTAGTGTTTAAATGTGCTGTGGATTATTTTCAGGAAAAAGCAGCCAAGAAAGAAAAGGCTGCAGTAGATGGTGTATTCTTTAGGTAAATTAGTTTACACTATTCATTCATGCTGACCACTTTAATTTTATGTTGTTTATCCAACAAACACAAAAATGCTTCGGATTTTGACTAATCTTTGTGTTAGAGTAGCCCATTCTGATGTTAATTTACTTTTCAAGTCATTTGCTTTTTTATCGGAAATTGAAAGAATTGTTTTTCACAATTTCAATAATATTAATAAATATTTTTTTATCCAGAAAGTTACTGAGGATTTTGAAAATAATCATTCCTGGATGGCTCACACCAGAGGTAGGTTATTGATATTAAGACGGATTCCGTTCAAAGTTTGAGAAATAAGTGCAAATTATTTGCTAAAAGTCTACTTATAGCACAATAACTTTTGGCACTCACTTAAGTTCATTTCTCTAAGTGACTCCGCAATTAAATTCTCAAGCATTCTCAAGAAAGTTAATGTCAAACCTCGTAAAAATGCTTAAGTGTGTGTTATTGTGTTTTAACTATCGTGAAATGTCTGTTTTAATTTAAATATGGATAACTTCAAGTTCAATTTTCCCTCACGGGGTCAGTTTCAGAGCTAAAGTCTTGATAAGTTCTTCTTAACTGTATTCAAAATATCACCATGTCATGAGGTTTTTTTGGTAACTTAATTTTTGCCATTATTGCTCGAATGTAGATATCATCTTAATGATCATACAGGTTATATGACTTGTACTATTGATACCAACTTTTGTTTCATATGGAAATAGAATTCGTTTATGAATAAATGACAATACACTTGTTTTTTTTTGTTTAATTTTATTGTTGTAATAAACAAACATTGTACAATATTATTGTAACTAACAAAATGTAGGAATAGAAATTTAGTATAACCTCTGAAATCATAAGTACACTCATGGGTAACAATTTTTAAAATTTGGTTTACCGCAGTGGTTTGAAAAATCTTATACTACTTCATAAATAAGATTGTATCATATGTAAAATTGAACTGCAACATATACAGAAGAAGTTTATGACAATTTAGTGAAGTCTGTGACTTGTAATTGCGTTTTTATATATTGATCTCTGATTATAAAAATGATGTTAGAGGCAGAGTTAAGTTTAAATGGTAAAGACTGTATATGAGCCAAGTGGCCCATTAGGCTGGCACTTATTTCTGATTTCAGTAGCATGAAGGGACTAGGGGTATTTCTACTCACCCCCTGGATGGAATGCTAGTCCATCACAGGGTTACCCCCAGCATTCAATTTGCTGGTATCCATTTATATACAGTGTACCTGGGTGGAGAGAGGTACTGTGAGAGTAAAGTGTCTTGTCCAAGAACACAATGCAATGTCCCCAGCCAGGACCCAAACTTGGACTGCTCGATCCAGAGGTGAGCACTCTTGAGGCCACCATACCTCCCTGAGGGAGGTGTGGTGGCCTCACCCGTGGGAGTTATTCAAAAGTGCCCAAAATTTGATATCCAGAACTTGGGTGGAAGACAATCAATGAAGTTTTTAATTCTTATGTTACAAGTCTGCATGTGGATTTTTAGAAAAATCAGCTGACCCCATTTCCAAGTCTGCCCCAGTATCTCAGGCAGAAGCTCTTAAAAGTATCTATTAGGAACACAGCTCAGTCCAGAGTACCGGTAACCATCAGTGTGTTTCACAAGAGTTAAAATTAGCAATTTTGTATTTTATCTTCAGACCGGTTACTTGGCACTTGTAGCTGCATCTCTGATAGCAAGGACATATTGTGATGTTTGGATGATACACAATGGAACTTCAATTGAGAGGTGAGCTTTCTCAAAGACACTCAGAGTACATAATACAATCTGCTGTGTATAATTCTGTGAATCCAAGGTAAATTTGGATAAAAGATTAAGGCTAAGGTACAGTGTAAAGGAATTTGCTTTGAGTTACACAATGCACATAATAATTTTTTCTTGCATTGAGTTACATGTTGTTCAGTTTAATTTGAGGACTGTATGATTGTGCAATTTTCTCTGGGGTAACCCGAAAACACTGACTCCCTGTCCGTGGACCCCCTCTACGGACTGGGTCCACGGACTACCTATGGACCAGTCAATGGACTATCCCTATAGACCCCTCTACGGACCAACCCCCAAAATGGAATGAAAATAATAAATTAGTATTTCAGTTACGGGTTGTCTTATAGATTATTTGTGTCTGCTAAATTCCTAATGTTACATTGTGCAAATGTAACAGACTTGGGTTCAGGCTCAGGCGTAATTTATATCATTACACATTGCCGTTTCCTTTGCTGTGGCCATACAGTGTATGAAAGACCAGGAAGCCTTCAGGAGGCCTCCGGGAAGCCTCTGGGAAGCCTTGAAATTTGTGCTCTTTCCCCTTTGCCATTTTGTCCAGCCCATTTTACCGTGGGTTCGTGAACTTGTTCCAGGCTTCACAATTTGCTCAGCAGAATTACAGATACAAACAAGCTTAAACGATCTAAAACGCATCTACCATAGCCAGATTGAGCCATGCTTCTCCATACGCTGTAAACAGCTTTTAGGCATTTTTTTTTGGGGGGGGGGGGGGG